CACACACACACACACACACACACACACACACACACACACACACACACAGTAGTGAGTGAGTAGTGTGTGAGAATATCTTGCATTAAACATAAAGTAGACTAAAAACTATTTTTATCTCTGGCAAGAAGGTTGTGAATTCACCTCTATTTGTGTGTGTGTGTTTGTAATCAAGATTATGCAAACAGAGCGATGCACTGTGGGTCAGGGAAGAATCTGTTAAACTTTTGGATCAGGTGGTGGATTGAGGATTTTTCTGTGAATTGGATCTTTTTACCTCTCCTCCATGATCATCAGGTGCAGGGCTTTCATTCTTGGCTGTGGCCTGTATGTCTCTTTGCGGTGCAGAGGGGGCGATACCTTGTGCGTACTTTTTTGTCATCTCAACAAAGCCATCCAGATCCACCAACTGATTAGCTGAGAGGACACAATGCAAGGGATTATATGAGTATACTACTCACTCACACTCTCTCTCTCTCTCTCTCTCTGTGAGTGTGAGTGTGGATACTTACACTCATTACTGACCATGTTTTCCAACACTTTCTGGGTCTGGCCTGAGGTTGGCCCAGGAATCCTGCTTGCAATGCCACCTATTGGTGAGGGAGGACCATAGCACCAGTGAGTAACAAACACTGCACTGCATGCCAGCATGTAATATGATATTCTTAACCATGACAGCTGCAAACACTGAAATCACACAGGGGAATACATGATATATTTAACAGCAATGGTAAACATCATGTGACAAAATGCTGCAGCATTCTGGTCGGTATGTAAAACACCAGGCAGGGTTCTTGTCACACTGCAGATGTGCTGTCCGTAGTTGCGTGTGTGCGTCCTACCTGGCGCTGCATTGACCTGGCCGATATTTTCCAGCATCTCAGCCACAGCCACCTTCTTCTTCCTCTCTGGGTTGAGCTTGAAGTACATCATCATGGCTGCTTTGCGTACAGCCAGTTCAAACCTACTCTCTGTTGACAACTTGCGCACATCAGCTTCATTCTCTGGAGTGATTCCTAGCAGAGGAAAAAAAAGTTCAGGAATGACAGAGACAAATACTCAAACATGGATGTGCACGTGCACATTCTGTTGACCTTTTTTCTCGATCCAGCAGCGCTGCAGTAATTTCGCTGCACCTTTTCTTCCCTGTTTAGCTGCTTGAATCAGCCAATTAACAGCCAGCAGATTATTCAGCTCAGTGTCCTTCTCTTCAGCAAGAATCAAGAAGTGCTGACCGAGCTGAAACACAGAGGAGACGTAGACGAGATGAGATTCATATCCAGCATTTAAGAAATGAGTCAAACTAATAACTCCAAACTATCAAATCAGGTCAATGTGATGTGGTTTAACTTAAGAACACCGTGCCCAGGGAAACATGGCAGGTTGAGTCAGTAGCTTCCATTAAATCAAAACTTAAAACGTACTTTTATTGTACCACATTCCCTATTTTGCCTAATTCTAGTTTTCATTATTGTATTGGGTTGTCAAGCTTTAATCTATGTGTTTTACTTGTGAAGTACTTTGTAACTTTGTTATATGAAGTGCTACATATAAATAAAGATATTAGTATTATTATTATGGCTGAAATACTAAAAAGAAAAAAGTATATATAAATAAACTTTAGAGAACACACTTGTACAGATCATTTCATTGGTTTAGCACAATAGGTCAAATCGTATCAGTTCACAGTCATGTTCATATTTCACTGACGACAACAGAACCCATAATTCCTGCTCCCTGTGGCCATCAGTGCCTCTTCACTTTTTCCCAGGGGACACAGCAGAGGCCTCGACTATCAAGTGACTGTTTTCTAATCTTAACTGTCATCTCATAACTTCTCACAGTTATAATCCAATTTAACTGTTTCTATTTGCATTCGAAGCAGCTCTGCATTTGCAGATGGACAATGTCTGTGTCCATGTTATATACAAGACATTCAAGGTCTCAAATCTGTTTCATTATCATGGATTTAACTTTACAGTGTTGTCAAAGTATTTAAATAGGAATGAGAATAATGTAAATGAAAAACAAATATGATGAGGCAGTGACTCTGTGTATGATTTGATTTTAAGCTGTTGGTGAGGAGCTTATTAGTCTATTATGATGTATCCTATCCTAAATGTATATCCTCCTATATCTCACCACCTTACTGCTGTGTTCACATGTTTTGACGTGTCCACTTACACACACATGGTTATTTAGATGCTTGGTATGTCCAAATACAGCATGTTAAGGCCATATAACTACCCAGTAAGAATTTGCCCTTTTCAAGCAGCTGGGTCTTAAATTTAAAAGTTGGGTCTCATCTTTCATTCCCTAATGTGAATATTTTATAATAGTGCAGATACAGGGAGTACTGTAATTCTCTCTAATATGTGTTCCCTATGATTCATATGTGTGTGTCAGTATTTTGTGTATCATATTCAAAGTCTGGTTTCGGCTTCCAAGTGGCCAAAAATAGACACTCGCTCTCAACCAGCCTGAGTCAACCAGCAGGACTGAAAACAATGCCAAGTTTCAGTCTGTCTCCGTGGTCGCTCACTCACCCGGGTCTGAGCTCGTGCATCACCAGCTTTGCCCTTCTCCTCCATCTGCTCCAGGGACAAATCCTCCTCCAGTTCCTCCTCTGGAGAAGAGGAGAGGAAAGGAGGTGTCTTAAATGTTCAAACATCTCAGTTAATCCAATCAAACAGAAACAACTCTCACAGGATTACATATGAACATGAAGTCACATATCCTGCAACATGAGCATTACAAGACGTCTGAGAGTGTACATCTGCTCTGCGTGAGATTTTGTGTGCATTTTAAACCCATCTGCATCTGTCTGTCTCTGCAGATATCTTGTGACACAGCTCCATCAACACCCTGCCCTGCTCCTATGTCACACTGATACAAGTCCATAGCCTAAAGTCTCATAACTCCTTTAAAGAAAAGGGGTTCAGTGTCTGTTTTAAATGCCACAGTCAAATGCCACAGTCGATCTTCTGTGGCTCAGCTAAATCTCCTGTTGGAGTAACAAGTGTGGTTTCACCACCAGTAGATATGAAGTAAAATATAACAGATGCTGATCTAAACTTTGTGATCATTTGTGACAGATAAATATAAATAATAATGTGCTGTCGACAAGAGTTTAGTATTTAGAGACCAAGTCTACAGCCATGATAGAAGCTTTGAGCTAAATGCTAACATCACCATGTGTAAAAGATGACAGAAGAAGCCAACAAACTGCTCACTACTTATAATTCACAGTGTTCATCATCTCACTCTTACATATTTGCACTAAACACAAAGTTAAGATCAACAAAAACTAAAGCTTTTAACTTTGACCTGGTAATGGTCATAATAAAGTTGAGTCAGCGAGAGGATCCCGTAAAGTTTTAACGGTTCAACCTGAAGTGGGCATGAATCTGCAAATCATATATGATGGCAATCAATCCAGGCCAAAGAAGAAATGTGAACCTCACTGTGGCACAAGAGGAAAGGTCAGAGGATCACCAAAGGTGTTAGGGTTCATCCTCTGGGCACCATGAATGTCTGCGACAGACTTAAAGGTGATCCAGCCAATAGTTGTTGAGACATTTCACTTAAAGACAAAAATATCAACCTGCTGGCATAAGAGGAAATGTCAGGGGTTGCTCAGATTGGGGACCGTGACTTTCATTTGTTGAGACATTTCATAGTGACATTGACAGACTGGTGCATCACACCCACTATTCATAGATCCATGTGGTGCGGTGATATAGAGAAGGCAAAAACTGTGGCTGCAGAACTGTGTGTGCGTGTTCACTACTCGTCACATTGAGGCAGAAAGGTGACGTATACAGAGGATCTGCTTTTCTTCACTTTTAATTTGATTTAGCACAGTCCACATAAACACACACAACAATTCTTTTTCTGTTCAGTTGTAGAGTAAAAAAGTGTTTTTTTGTCACTTTTAGTTTAGTTATCGGACAGCTTATTTCAGCAAATCACACAGCTAGTGTATTTGACATTATCTGTGGTTGTGTAGTAGGTGTCTGAGTGAGTTTTGATTGAAATAGACAGATATGTGTCCTATGTGTAATAAATTTGACAGGTCTAACTATATAGCACCTTTTGGGCAGAAATGCAGCCCAAGCAACACTGCATCATTGTGTGCAAAACTGCTCCTCAGCTTTACAACATGAGATTAAACGCATACCTCCACCACAGACCAACAGTGACCAACAGTCCCCTTAAATTCAATCCAGCTAAATGTCACACACTCATAGATATCACTCCTCTGTATACGCCGGATTTGTTTTCATCACAGTCTATGTATTGCTCCCTGGGAAAAAAATGAAAATGTTGGAAAAAATCTCACAACGCTGAAGAAAGTGAAAACACTTCCTGGGTCCTGATCCGGATTCGAAAATAAATTCAATGAGTTCTTCCCTGAAGTTTCAACGTAATGTGTTGACTATTTCTATTTTAGAATCTTGGTGACTAACAACCAAACAAAGAAATGGGTTAACCTCATGGAGGAAATAAAGGTAGCTTAAGAAATTGAAGTGAAATGTTTATCAAAGTGTAATGTTACACTGATGAACATGGACAGATATACAGATAACATATAGCAGACATCTTATCACCGAAGAAAACAGCAACAGGTCTGTGATGTCATTAAAACTCACAATGTGTGATTTAATCCCAAACTCAAAATTAGGACTTTCTTACCATCTTCATCAGCATCCTCTTTGTCTGCTTTCCTGAGTTTTTCCTGTAATATGACCATCTTGGCCATGGAGACAAAGGTGCGTTTTATTGGGGCGGTGGAAGCAGTGCTGGAGGACGATGGAGGGGAATCTGTCACAGTCGTACAGGTCACATCCGCTGAAGCAATGGAGGGAGAGGCGAGTTTGGACACGGGGGACATTTTGGAGATTTGAGGGGTAGAGTGGTTAAGAGAAGTGACGAGGGGTGTTTTGTTTGGAGTGCTAGAGGATGGGTTGGTGGAGACAGTTTTAGAGGCAGGTTTGGACACAGTAGAAGACGAAGGCTTTGACCCTTCAGCAGGAGGAGGGGAGGCTGTTGATTTCGACATGACGTGAGCTGTTTGTGGTGAAGAATATGAGGGTTTGTTGGGTTCTGTCTTTGTTTCTGTGGAGGCTGGAGATTTGGGTGTGGCAGAGAGGTAATTGGGGACAGTTGGGGGAGGCATCTGTACGGTGGAGGGATGAGAGGGTGCATCCTCGACAGAGCATGACCCCTGAGTTTTGACAGGAGTGGGCGTTGATGAGGAATCCTTCTCCATCTTACCTGTGAGAGAAAAAACAAATATATTATTATATATATTTTTATATTATATTATATATTATTAATATATAATGACAACCATGCGACTCTCACACCAAACAGCACAGACATCCTTGTGAATGTCGTGCACCTCCGGCATCAATTATTTCAACTCTCTCCCTCCTGGTCTCTCTCTCACACTTCTCCATAAACTTCCACTGCAGAGAACACTAACCCCTGACCTCCAATAACTACATTGTTCTTATCAAACACGGCATTGATGAAAAGATTATGTCGTATTCTCCGAACTTCCTCCTCCATCCTCTTCGCGACTCCTTCTGCCCACTTACCCTCTATGTGGTCTAGAACTTTCAGCTGTGACTTGCTTAGTCTTGTATATTCTATGTGACCGTGCTCTGTATGAAGTCTTGTTTTTACTATTGTTGATTCGATACTTTTTAATATATCCTTCATAGTTTTGTCCTGACATTTTGCAGTTTTTGAATCATTATATTTGTAAGGTTTCCTTCATTGTCTCGAAAGGCGCCCACAAATAAAATGCATTATTGTTATTATTATCAAGTTTATTGTTGTTGTTTTTATTATTGTTATAATTATCATAATAGATTTATTATTGTTGTTATTATTATTATTATATATTTATGGTTGTTGTTTGTATAATTGTGATAAGTATTATTATAGATCTATTGTTGTTATTGTTATTATTATTATTATTATTATATATTTATGGTTGTTGTTTGCATTATTGTTATAATTATTATTACAGATTTATTGTTGTTATTGTTATTAACATTATTATTAACGTTGTTGTTAGTTTACACATTCCAGAAACACACAGCTGGGCAGTGGAAGAACCTTTCCACTGGATATTTTACACCTAATATAAAGCCCAACACTTTCCATTTAAAAAAAGAAAAAACTAACAAACAAACAAACAATTAAACACTTTGCTACTCAGGTTTAATCTACTGTGTGAGAAGAGATACCATAGAGGCCTTTTGAAAGGAATATCTGCAGCAATGTCTCACAATCAAACTAGACAAAGTGGCACATGAAGGCAGGAACATACATAATAACAATAATAATATTTAAAATTCATGACGATGAAATTAAAATATGGATGGTACATTTGAATCACTTTTGATAACAGGCCTATACTGCGATTATTCAGCATTGCCCCAGTTTACGCAAACTTCGTGCCAAGTACATTCTCAACACTGAACCTGCGCATAAATAAGTAATAATTAAAACAGCACAGGCGTAAAATATCTTACCTGTTGACTGGGTGAGCAGATTTCTTCAGCACATGAAGGGAAATGTTCTCCTGAGTTTAAATGTGCTGTTAGCGCTCCATGCTGCAGGTTCAGTCCGCTCCCCTGCACCAGTGAAACCAGAGACACGCACATGCTGCTCCCAAGTCTCTGGTCTATAAACAACATCAAAACTCTAGCACCCACCCTCTTTCAAATAGACTCGCCTCTAATAGGCGGGAGTAAACGCCCATCAAATAGCCAAAGTCTCTGATTGGTTCGTTGTCCTCCTTGTTACGTGATCCTGTGAGGGCCAAAGGATTTTAACAATGTCTGTCACCTCTTCAAGCGTTTGCTTAATCCTGTCACTCATAATCTCGCTCAATGTGTGGGAAAATCACAACTGAACAATCATAGAATAATGAAGAATAATAACAGATTCCACCACTCTTAAAAAACGTCAATTTATAGATAATGGGTCATATTTAGAGGGGCTGCATGTGCAATTAATTCATCAGAATGATGACATCATCCGGATTAAAATGTACTGTACAGATCTTTAATTAAGTTTTTCTTTTACCCACGGCCTCTATCTGAAACAAATGCTGGAAAAGACAACGCTGTAATAACTAATACTTTATAATTCATCAACTGCTTAAGGATCGCATGATTTAATGAATCAATAATGCAGGTGAAATGTTGCTCATTGTCAGGAATCATCACCTCACTGTGAACTTCATGGATTCACTATTATATACATTAAAATTCTATGCACAGCAGCATGGAGCTCTTTGATCGTCAGGATAACTCCCAGTTAGGTCACAGTCTGTGACAACATGAAGGTGGTTTTGTTGTGCAGCACCAGTTTGATAAAACAAAGCTTCATATTTTATACAGTTTATCCTGTTTTTTAAATGTATTTCAGCAGATTTAATGCTGTAAATGGACGCAAAGCAGCTGGACTGTGTTTTTATATTATTTGATTATCTATAAGGCAGGAACCATTGACATATCCTTAATTACTACATAAGCTATATTAAACATGATTTTTACCCATATTGTAAAGTATATACCTATGCTGTACATGGACAGATATATATATGGATACTCTACATGGACCCATATACATTGTGATGTATATGTTTAGGCATTGTCTTGGGTTTTTGTTTTTTCCCTCTGGGAGCTGTCCACCTGCATGAGTGGTGAGCAGACAACTCCAAGCTTCTCACTCTGTCCCTCTCACTTTCTATTCCCAGCATCCCCTAAGGGTCATGACAACAACTGTGTTACTGCCTGGAACAAGATTTCAATTGGCACTGTTGGCGCACACCAGAAGTCGTCCCATGAGCGCACAGGTCACTGGTTTCGGGGTCAGTTGAGATAAAAGCACCTGCTGCATGCCAAAGGCTCACAGTGTACCTGAACCACATGGTGCACACATTCTCTGCCAGTGCTGCTCAATAGAGCTTGTTACACAGCAGACATTTTTAACACGTCACAGTAGGTAAAGTGCAGGTGTAAATAAAAAGAAGGATGTCTACATGATTTCAAAACTGCTTCAGTGTCAGTGTGCAGGTGCCTGCTGGCTCCCTGCCTCATGGTAATATCTTGAACTGAACAGAAGCAATGTTGATAGAGATATTTATTTTCATGGGGTAAATGAAAAAAAGGCAGGACAGAAAGAAAAGTTAGAACCTTTGACTTGACAATTAAAAGAAATTGATTTCTTGATTTCTTCTGTCTGGGGGGAACTACCTGACTGTGTTTAACATTCAGTGATAGTTTGTCAACAAGTGTAGATGAACAATAGTCAATAAGTTGTGAGTGTATGTGTTATGCAGACAGTAACGGTGTATGTCTACCGTGATGAGGGCCTATAGACTGGCCCCTTGGGTGACAGCAGCCATCAATCTGTCTGTCCCTGCAGATGTGGGTTAAAAGATGACACAGGCTGCTAATCCACTGATCTGCTCATGCAAAGCCCCCACATTTAAAGAAGGGAAGAGGGGTGGTATAGAGACACTAAGAGGGGGGGTAGAGAGACAAAGACAAAGAGGGGGGTAGAAGGCTATGCATTTATTTTATTTGTTTGTGAACTATATGGTCAATAAATTTGCTGTTGCAGAGGTAAAGCTTTAGACATACCAACACTCAAAACTGGAGCACTGCATCATTTCACTGGGTTTCGTGTGTGTGCGTGTGCGTGTGTGTGTGTTAAGAGGCGGGGTTCTTAGGTAGCCCGGAGAAAGCTTCATGCTTTTCACAGTTGACAGCATCGAATGAACGCCCGGGAGGAGGGACCCTGACCCGGTTACAGACAAAAAACCAACCAGGCTGCTGTCTCCGTTACAGATTTGGGGGGCGGGGGTGAAGACACAATATGTCTGACTGCAGGAGACAGTGGAACCGGGAGGATGAGCTGCCAGTCTACCTGGCGGGGCCGATCACCACCGGGCCGAACCAGAGGAAATCCTACGGCATGTTCAGCTCCGTGGAGGGGGCGTTCGAGAGCAAGACCATCGACTTCGACAACTACGCGGTAGGGAGGAAAGGGAGCCGCACCCCGAGGAGCGGCAGTCGGGAGAGACTCTTGGACACCGGTGATGAAGCCATCGGGAAGACGCCCGGCAGTAGCCCGGCCCGGGAGAGGTCCATGGGCAACTCGCCCGGGGAGCACGACGACGCACACGCGGGTGTTGAGGTCAGATATCCATCGGGGAAGGAAAGCACTGATGGAGCGGTATGGATGATAATTGTACCTCTGTCTGGGTTTTTTTGTTGAAATGTTGTCATTTATGTAAAGGCTTCCCAATAACTAGTTTATTGTAGAAACAAACCCACGTCGCCCTGGAGGATAACTATTGCTCCACAAAAGAACAGAGATTATGATTTATGTCAGATGAAAGTATCATGTAAATATCTTTCAAATAATTAAACAAAAGATGCTGTTGGCCTTATTTTGGAAAACAAGAAGCGCCATCAGGATTCATCCTGGAGGAATGTGTCTGCATAAATGATCAACTTTTGTGCTGCATTGCAGTTTAGTCCTTTTGGTCTGAGCTCAAAGAAAACTGTTAAATACACGAATGTAGAGGCTCAGTGAGGAATGTGTGGTGCTGAAGTGGACAGCGACAGACTGAGCCGAGCTGTGTTTGTGTGTGTGTGTGTGTGTGTGTGTGTGTGTGTGTGTGTGTGTTTGTGTGTGTGTCTGTGTGTGTGTGTGTGTGTGTGTGTACTTGTACAGACGTCGTTGTGAGGACCATTGGATGGAGTGAGGACATGTTTTGGAAATTCATATCATTTTGGTCGGTCCTCACTTTCTAAGTTCATTTCAAATGGCTGTTTTGGGGTTGAGACTTGCATTAAGTAGAATGGTTTACATTATGGTAGAATTGGGTTTAGACACTCAGGGTGAGGCACTCGGGAATGCTTTATGCCATTGAGTGTCCTCACTAAGATAGAGGTACGAAGTGTGTGTGTGTGCAAGAAGGAGGTGTGAGGGAGCTCGCGTCTACACCGTCTTTGTCGGTGCCATGAACGCAGCACGCTTCACGCTGTGCGCGCTCCACGCGTCCTTTACGCAACCGTACGGCGCCCCCCCCACCCCCCCACCCCCTGTCTCTCTCTCTCACACACAAGCAAACAAAAACCAACAAACCCCAGGGGAAGACAAGAGGGGTGCGGAGCTGTAGCGCAGGGCAACACGGTACTGAGCTTAGTGCCCGGGGGCTGAGGGACGGAGAGAGCATGTCTGGGAACTGTTACCACGGGAAGAACAGCATCCCCCACCTGACGGTAAGAGACCGGGGCCGGTGAAGCTCTCTCTCTCTCTCCGCTTGTGTATGCAAATCCCTGGTGCCAGTGCCGGCAGAGAGAGAGGGGGGATTAAATTCTTAGCGAGGCAGCAAAGAGCACAAGGCCCCTCCACGGTGCTGTATCTCCTGTGTCAAACAGCAAAACCACGACACCGAGGTGACAATTGTCTGTTCGTGCATCAAATCGAGCGAGTATTCCTGCTCAGGTTGGGACAGTGTTCCGTAATCTGACAGCCCGTCAGAGGGATTAACTCGGTCGACTTGAATCAGGAGTCGCACGGGAACAACGGCTCCTATAGAACAACTCAGAGGTGTGAGGCTGGACCTCTGTTGCTTCCTCTTGGAAGGACACATTCTGCAGAGAGCCTCCTCTCAGAGGAGCCGAATATTACATGCAAAGTGAATTACATAGCATTTCATCCCAATGCGGTCACATGTTCCTCTTGTAATGGCTACATATGCAGCTGCTGCCGTCATCTCGAACTATGGATGATCACTGGTTACCATGGAGACCTAACATCCTCCTTAATGCTGTTGCCAGGCATGCTGGTAGAAGCTGTGGACTCATGAAAGTCTGATGAAATCATGCTTGTTTTAACACCAGGCCTTTCAATGATCTGTATGATTGTTTTTAAATCTATGATAAATGCAAAATAGTTCATATTTGTATTAGACCCCACCCATGAACAGCACCAGTGGGACCATGCGTTTCTTTCCACTCATCTTTTTCCACTGCACTGAGCCATAATATCGCTGTAAAGCCATGCGTTACATAAGTGATTGTGGAATCAATCAAAATGTCATTGAATTCTGCCCCTCCTGCACCTCTCCCTCCCTCCCTCCCTCCCTCTGTACCTCTCCCCTGCAGAGTGAGAAGCTGCTGATTAAAGGAGGGCGGGTTGTCAACGATGACCAGTCTCTCTATGCAGACGTCTACATTGAGGCTGGGGTCATCAAGTGCGTATATCAGGAACTATACACCACAGAGGCATGAAATATAACTTATCTGTTGATAATGATTTCCCTTCTTTATTCTCTTTGTTTTCAACTCTTACATCCTCCTCAATGTCTATGTCATCCACATACATATTATTATCCTTCTCCTATCATCTCTGCAACCCTTTATACTTTATGCCTCCATCTCATCCTCCTGACCCTCGGCAGGCAGGTGGGGGAGAATCTGGTCGTCCCGGGGGGAGTCAAGGTGATCGAGGCCAATGGCCGCATGGTCATACCAGGGGGAATAGATGTCGACACCTGTCTGATGAAGTCCTTCCTGGGCACCCAGCCTGTTGATGATTTCTTCCAGGGCACCAAGGCTGCACTTGC